GAAGCAAAGCCCGAAATGACGGACAGCTAGTGCTAATCTGTCCAGTGCCGCTTGACAAGTTTGTGAGCTGTCACAGATTAGGGCAATATCATCAGCATATTCTAAGTCGAGAAGTCGTTCTCCTGGGGGCAGATCTACACCTTTTAAGTTGTGTCCTGTGAACGCGATTTCCATGACTTCGTCAACAGCGAAGTTGAAGAGGAAAGGTGGCAGCGGGCATTCTTGTCTCACTGCTGGAGATATTAAAGGGCGACGACAGCTTGCCGTAAGCCCTCACTCTGCCTGAGCTACTTGCGTATAATGCTCGGATAATATTTACATATTTCTCACATACACCTTTCCTGAGTAGACAGTCCCAAAGTGCACGTCTATCTACCGAATCGAATGCACTTTTGGCATCGAGGAACACGACAACGGTGGACCGCCAATATATGTGGCGGTGCTCCAACAACTGACGCAACATGAAGATGTGGTCAATGCAGCCACGACCTCAACGAAACCCGGCTTGCTCTTCACGAATCTGGCTTTCACGAGCGCCAGTCAATCTGTGAAGGATGACAGAGGCGAGTAATTTGGAGGCGATGGAGATCAGACTGATTCCTCTATGGTTGCCGCATTCCGATCGTGAGCCTCCCTTGAAAATTGAGACTGTGGCGGAATGGCTCCAGTCGGTTCGGGACAGTTTCCTGCTCCCATAGTTTCATTGGTAACTCGTATAAATCATCCACAGGAACAGGTCCCCCGAATTTGAAGAGGGTTGTAGGAAGATCATCTCGTCCCGCGGCTTTATGTAACTTTTACAGTTCGATCCCATGTTCGACTTCTGAGCGAGAGGGTGGGTCCAAAAGGACGGCCCACGGAGCAGGGCGATCACTAGCCGGCGAGAAGTATAACAATTCCGACCGATTAAATTGCCTTTCAAACTGCTCAGCTCAACGCTCCAAGCGTTTTTACAGTTTGTGGATAGGCTGCCCATTCTCGCCACGTATGGTTTCACTAACACCAGGTCTCCTGCTGCCCGTTTCCCGTATCAGCCGGAATAACTTACGATGGTTACCAAGGGCAGCGGCCATTTCCATCTCTGATGCACGATGAGATCACCAGGATTCGCGGTCTCTCTTCAGGCTAGCACGGAGTTTTGCCCCGAGCTCTTTGCGAGTTTAATTGCGTTCCCTTTCTGCCGGAATGCGCCGGCGAGCATTGATAAGTTCCAAAGACTGCGAAGAAACCCAATGTCCATGTTGGTGATTAGACTTATCACATGAGGATTTGCATGCTGCTAGTAAGGTCAGGTGAATATGAGACCAGTGAGCTTCACTTGCATCCAGTGAACGCTTACTCAACTCGCATGACAGCGTACTTTGATAGACATTCAGAACAGTTGGCTTCGCCAGTTGGGTGGTGTCAATGCGGTCACAACGTCGTCGTTGGCGTCCGCCAAAACGCATCCGCAGGTCAGCACGTACAAGTGCATGGTCAGTGTCTACACGTGTGCTCCAAATCGAGCGACACTTCTGGACACAGCCTCCACATCGGTGACTTATCACAATGTGATCGATTTGCGTCCCTAACTGGTTCGAGGCTGGTGGGTGCCAAGTCACTCTCCGGCGGGTGCTGTGTCGGAAATTAGTGCTCGCGAGAAATAAGTGAGCATTCTCACACCAATGAAGTAACCGCTCACCGTTATCATTACGGGAGCCTACACCATGTTGGCCGCTCAGATGCAGTTCCTCAGAGGATAATTTTCCAACTTGAGCGTTCAGATCCCCAGCCAGCACAACGGTGTCCGAGCATTTCCTGTGGCGAAGGAACTCGCTCAGTTAACGATAGAAGTCGTCTTTTACCGAATCATCGCTAGAGTTTGTTGGTGCACAGGCAGCGATGACAAATAGACACCTGTTAGTCCCGTGCGGCTTCGAAGCTTTGAACGGACCAGCCAATTGGATCGCACACAACCGGCTACTGATTGGGATCCAATCAACCAGAGTAGCTTCAGCCCGAGGACTCAGGGCAACACCAACACCGGCTTGGTCGGTACTCGAAGCTACATCGTCACCGGATAGGCACAATGAGAAAGTGCTACTAGTGTCACCTGAACCGGCTCGCAGTGTGAGCACAGAGCTCGAGTCTTGCAGGCGGGTTTCCGATAAGCAGCAGATATCTATCGAGAGGGTCTCTAATGTTCGAGCAGGTGCTGCCTGTTGACCGATCTGAAGCAATGTGCGTACTTTGAGGCATGCCAATTTGAAGGAGGATCGAGGGCTCCAAATGGAAGTCGATGAACTAGGCTCGACCGCTTGCTTGGATATGGGCCTGTTGTCAGAATAGTAATGACGTTCCGAGTTCACATGTGAGTTGATACTAGCCGACAAGCGACTATTGAAGCAAGGTGGGGGAGGGCCAAGAATTGGTGGGTTGAAAACAGGGAGGATAAAAGTGAAGCTGGAACGGGACGGTCAGAGTGAAAAAGCGCAAGAGTGGGAATAAGGAGACGGGAAGGTTTGAGCAGTAGCATCCAAACCCTTATCCACCCTGCTCGATGCAGCAGATAGGGCACCGTTAATTATCCTCTGCGGTGGCCAGAGCATCAAGAAATTGTTTGAGGAACGATTCATAGTATTGAGTGGGCAGGATACTGTCAGTTTGCCTAGGCGTTGACAGGAGAACGATTAGGGTTTTCAACCAAAACCTTCGGTTCCGAAACCTGACCGCAAGGCAACGGGTTTGGCGTTGGGCTACAAGGAGTCCGTTTTTATGGAATAAGAGCCACCCTCATTCCAAACCCCAACCTGGAGGACCAGGAGGCTGAGTTTGTCTGGCCACTAACCATTGACCATTGTGGTACGAGTGGCTCTGAAGGTGCAAAAATGCACCACCCAGCATAGCCCAATGGACCACTGAAGCACACAAACCTTCGCACCGCGGTAAGGTCCAGTCTCATTGCGATGGCCTTAAATATTGCAGGTGGGAGTGAATCCGAACCAGCGGTACGAAAACGATTGAGGTCTGTGCTCGCGTTTCGGACCTCAGCCTCCGACGGAGGCTCTAAACTAATCGTCCATGGTTCGTCCTGCATCACCTGAGTTAGGAAGAGGTCCGGGAGCAGGGGGCCAGCTGAACTGATATTGAAAGCTTTTCGCCCAGCGAGCCATACGGCGCTCCTTATTGTGTGTCAGTGCACCCGCGCTGTCTCTGATTGTCGTCCGCATACTCCAGGTTTCTCAGCCAGTCACCTGAGAGAACTTCCACTTCGTTAGAGTCTGAAAGAACCGAGTCGTTCATGGCCATTTCGATAACAACGTTGAAGACGAAAAGAGATATAGGACAACCCTGGCCCTAGCCTAAAGGTAACAAAATTGTCTTGTGATCTGACGGTGCGGGTTCGAGCCTCCGTAGCGGCAGGGCGACTTCCGCTCTAACCTTAGTCCACGTGCAACCGGTGATGGTTGCGCGGCTGCAAAGCGTCCGTCCTGCCTACCGGCGTACTGCTGATGCCTCTGCCTGACGAAGTCCACTTGTGGGAAACTCAGGAGTGAGTTTCCTGTAAACCCTTACACGTCCTCGGGAGTCACGATAGGCTGCTTATTAGAAAGGAATTTAGCCGGTGCCCTTCATGGATAGGCATTGCCACAAGCTGGCGCGGTCAACAGAGTCGAAGGTAGTTATCAAGATAACGAAAACTACTATAGTCCGTCGTCTCTGTGTGTCTTTGATCCAGCACTTGACGAAGAGTGAATATATGGTCGATATAGCCACGATCAGGGCAAACGCCAGCCTGGCTTTCATTGAATCGCTTCTCACGAGTGTCTTTAGTCGTCGCAGAATGATACCCGTGAGAAGCTTGGACGCATTTGGGAAAAGGCTAAAGCCCCGATGATTTTCGCACAAAGTACGCTGATGGTTCTTGAAGATGGGCACGATGGTTAACAGTCTTAGGGCGCCTCTTCAGTGTCCGTCCGGTTAACAAAGTCACCAGCATCTTCCAGTAAAGATGGAGGGTTGTCGAGTCCAGGAGTCTTGCTTCTTTTCCACACGGAAAGCTCCTGTCGAATCTCTTTCAATGTGGGGTGCGTGACATCAGCTTCTTAGGTCAGTTCAGCAAGCTGCGGTGTCGCAGCAAGTCTGCTGAACTGCTATTCACAATCTCCCGCCCTACGGGCGGTTGGTGTTTGTCAACTGATCCTCTGGCGTTGCACTTTACTGTTTTCTAAGATTCATCCTCACAAATGTGTTGGTTCTATCGTCCTGAAGGTAGTCTCCGAGATGTGTGACATCTGACGTCGGACCTTATTAAAAGTGACAGTCGTGACATCATTTGTACTTGACCTACGATTTTTTGTTTTCAGCCTTTTCATATGTATGCATTTTGTCCTGTTTACTATGGATTTCTCTGTGAGCTGTCCGACCGGTAACGGTTGTTTTGACACTTGCGTTGCTACTCACAAGCCACCGGTCGGAACTTGCGTAGGTGCGAGTGATTTTGCAGTGTCCCAGCCCAAATGCAAATGCCTTTTTTGTTTCGCGATAGCGGAACCTCTTCGGGAAGCTCTGACGTGCTATTGTTGTTTTTATTCCTGTCCGGAATTTGCTTTTCTCTGATATTTTTTCTCACCCATATTTTTCTGGTGGCATTCTTGGATACTCTGATTACAGTTTACTAATTTAAACGGACCGAACTCTATCTTTGAACTCGTTCTAGAAATTGGTGCCTTTACTACTTACCATTTCTGTTTCATCCCTTTGTTTTACTTACGACCAATCTTCCTGCTGCTTGCTCTCTATGTTTTCGCCTTACACGTCGTTTTTCTCTTTGGCAATCGATGTCTTTCTACCTGTGCTCAAGACATAACCGGAATTACCACACAATTCCCGTTGTTTTTTGACATGTCGCACGCCCTTATTGCCTTTCCCCCGCTTATTGGCCGCATTTCTCGTGCTTTTGTTCCAGTGTATGCTTTTCATGATGGTTCCGACTTGAACCGTCCAGTGGGATATCAGTAATGATTTTCCCCGAAATACACAACCGCGCGATCGAGGATTTGCTTCTAATTAGATTTCAAAATGCAAAACAAGGGTAAATCCGCGATTTTATCTAATTTTGTAACAGATTGAAATATGAAAAATTTAACTACATCCTTGCCGACTTCGATGGCGTGGTCTATCGAGTACACAGCCTACCCAACGATAAATCGAAGCTTATCGTTAGCATTTATTTGAGCTATTTCAAGGAACTGCAAGAATTTAGGGCTAACGACGTACGTTCTTGCGGAAGATGTAACACACTTCTTCACATTCTAGGTACTTAAGAAGGAATATGGACCTCACCTTTGTTCTGAACCGGAGACGGACTGCAGCATATCACTTATATATGATTTGGCAAATTTGCCGTATGATCTTCCATCATTGGCACACCAAGCGTCTTTATTGAAGCGAAACTGTCTCGCATCTGTCTTTGAACGCCTGTTTGAGTTTCAGGCCAGCGAAGGGGCCATTGGCTTCAAACAAGCCGTTATTCATTATCGCTCTGACGAGACACTGTGAGTGAAGTCATGTTAAGCTTTATCGATTCGGTTTGGCTTTTATAGTTTCATGAGCAGTTGGTGCTCTCTGATTTTTCCTGGTCTTGATTTTGAGTTGCTTTTTCCATATGTTTTTCAGGAGACCATGCTATATTTAGGAAGAAGCATCAGCAGTATGCTGGCACGCCGTATCGACGCTTCACTGCCATAGTTGCGCTAGGGTTAGATATTCCAAGCAGCCGCCTGCATCTACATGGATTCGAACCGGTGGCCTCCGGATTACACCGACTGACAACTGTAGTCCTTTCAACCGCCGGCCGGTATATATATATATATATATATATATATATATTCACAGTTTGGTTACAGGCAATTTGCCATCAGAACGATGGCAGCAAAATGGTAACACGAAATACGAAAACGAAAATTTTTTACACATACTATTTAGAGTTCTTTTGTTTTGGAGCTTTTTATCTTCGATTAGACATTAATGTGTAATGCAGTAGAACAACATCGGACCATAACATTCAGCTTTTATAACCACATCTATTCATTCATTCATTATACACGTTAGTTGCAGGTGGAAAACACCTCAGCTATGGTGCCGTAGTATAAAAGAAAAGAAAAGTATGAGACAGAGCACCGGTGGCTTAGTCACTGGTACCGGATGAACATCGTTCCGGAGAGTTAACAGCCGGCTATTGTGCCGCAGAAAAGGAGTTGTATTATGCCTAATAAATGAGATCGTGCTTAGTGGGGGAGGATAAGCGGGAGGTGGAGGGACAAAGAAACTCACAATATCTGCCATTGTGATCGGCTTTTAGCCATGTCAACAAGTGTATCCAGCCAAACGTGCTCATCGTCCTTCGGTCCCCAACCAGGGATCCGAGAAGCGTCACCCCAGGCCAACGTTGAAGTAAGGGTCTTCATTCCTCTCGACCAAGTCATCGCTTGGCCACCCCTCCTCTTCTTCCATCCGCAACCTCGGCGCGCAAACAGCACACGTCGCGGGAGTCGGTGGGCTGGCATGCGCAACACGTCGCCCAGCCATCGGAGCCTGGTGCGTGAAATAACGGTGCTGAGCGGTTTGCTTCTTCTTCCTGCGCCATAAACAACGCGTCGAACACGCTCATTGCTGACACGACATTCTCACCAGATATGAGCCAAACTGCGAAGGCACCGGTGATCGAACGTAACCACAAGGAATCATAGTCACATGGTCTCTGTCCTGAAAAGCGGACCGGTCCGACCGATGCCAAGCTTCAGCTTGTCCTCTTCATGCCCCTTCCCCTCGTCATTGCTTGTTCACCGCGACACTTTTCCAATCCCTTCCATGAAGCGCGATTAAACTCGACGGCGAAGTCTATAGGCTGGCAAGCGCAATACTTGGCCGATCCAAGGCATGCAACGTCGGAAAATGACGCTTTGGAGGCATGGGTTGTTCGCTCCAAGTACTCGGTCTCGGACTTCTGTGTTTCTTACGTGATTTTACCACCACACACGAGCCCTCCTTCGCAGACGACGATCGTCAAAAATTGATAATCATTTAATGTCCTCCGAGCGGATAGATCAAGTCTCACTGTCGTAAAACGGGACGCACTGAACACTCTGCCCTTAAACTTAAGATTGACATCGTGACGACGCCATAGTTGTCTCAGTTTAATGAATGCAGGGTGATCCATTATGAGGCATCATCTCTAGCACCACAGCCAGCGGTAACACAACACCTTCCAGAACGTCAATAGCAATGGTGTGGGCAGGCACAGACACCTGCCAGTCCTGGAGTAGTGTTTTACGTTTGCTAGGTGTGAAATTCAGGCCATGCTTAGAGGCCTCCATCCCTAAGCGGTTCGAAGCGCTCTGGAGGGCTTGTGGATCATCTTCAAGGAAAACGATATCGTCGTAATCCAAGTCCTCTACTTTGTTACCAGAGAGAAGAGCAATATCGCAGTCTTGGATACCTTCCAATGTTTATTGCACCGCATTTTCGAAGGTGTAATCGAAAAGGAGAGGTGTAATATGTCAACCTTGGGGAACGCCGCCAGCGGCAGAAAACGAAGAGGCAAGCCTGCCGTAAGTCCCTACTATGTCTGACATGTGACTGTATAGTCCTTTCAGGATAATTACATAATTGTCGGGGCGCCTTCCCTCCGTAAACAGTTACACAACGCAAATCTCTACTGATTTGAATGTCACTCGGAAAGGCATCAACAGTACGTCGGCACGCCGTACCGCTGCTTCGCTGCCAAACAGCCAACACCGGTCGCGCATGGGCTAAGGATACTACGAGGGTCGCCAGGTCACCTATGAAGACTCGAACCGTGGCCTCCGGATCACAAGGCAGTTATGCGATCCTTTTGGTCTCTCGGATGTTCAGGAACACTACGATTATTCTTCGCCGTTGGACAAAACGGAGTCCAAAAAATTGGCACAGTGTGGAGATTTTATCGATGCAATTTGGCCTGGACGAAAACCAGCTTTTTCTTCCCGGGAAAAGCTCACCGGCCGTAGGTACGTGCAATGGCACCGGAGTCGTTAGCAGTACGCCGGTACTTCGTGTTGGACTTTATTGCTACATACACAGTTGTAAATGGGCTGGAATATTGCAGAGACCCTCAATCCCACGCAGTAAGGCGTACTGGAACTCGGGACTTTGAGGTTGCAGTCCAGTCGGTAGCCCAAACAAAGCATACGCAGTGACCGTGAAGCCTGGTGCTCTCAGCACTCTTCGGAAATGGAAGTCGCTGCCCCCGCTGGCAATACATGCAAGCTCTTCCAGCTCATTCGATCCACTGGCCACAGAAAACCTGGTGTCAGTGTGACTATTTGTGATGCGCATGGCTCGCTGATTGCAAATCTACGGACGCTTGGATCGATAGGCCGAACCACTTCATACGCAGTTCAATTGGCCCTCATCGTTCATTTGTCTTCCCTGCGAACCAAGCTGTCTGCCTTGGGTCGTCACACTTGCTCCACCCAGCAAAGCAAAGATCAGTCTTCCGATTCGACACTCGAAACGATTCAAGGTTGTCGGCTCAGACGGACCTCCTCCAGAGCTGTTTAAATATGGAGGTGCAGTTATCACCGATCAGTTAACCTCATTGCTCTCCAAAATCTGGATTGAGGCGAAGGTGCCTTCTTCCTGGGGCGAACCAGTTATTGTCCCGATTTTTCAAAAAATTGCTCGCATTTCATTCATCAATCACCAGGGGATTGGTATCATTTCGGTTACCTACAAGCTATTGGCATCCATCTACTCCGTAGACCATCCCCGCTTCGTGAATCTCAGTACCTAGAAGAACAAGCTCGCTTCCGATCTGGCAGCGGGGGTGTGGATCAGATATTCACACTCCGTATAAATTCTGAACACCACCACCTTTACCAGTGGCCTACCATGGTTACATTTCTGGACATCCGTGCCGCATTTGACTCGGTTGATCTACCTGCACTATGGCGTTGTTTGCTAAGAAACGGTGTCCCAGAAAAGTACACTGTCATCCTAATTGCACTGTATTTTCACATCTCTGTCCGAGTGAGAGTCTATGGCAGGCTTTCGTCGTCCTTCGCTGTCAATAAAAGTGTACGACCAGGCTGTTTTTTTCCTCTTCAAGTTGCGATTGAAGACATCCTATCGAGAGCTCTAGACGGTTGCCAAAATTTTGGTATATAGCCAACTCCGGGCAAGCGAGAAACTGACTTAGATTATTCCGATAATATCGCCTTACTTGGTGAGGATTCACAGAGCATGCAAATCATTTTAGACCGGTTGATGATTGAGACATCTAAGTACGGAATATGCTTTGTCCCGTCAAAGTGCTGTTTCAGGATTGACACTCCACTGTTCCCGTACTCAATATTGTAGATACACAGCTTGAACAAGTGGATAACTTTGTCTACCTTGGCGGCTATGTGTCTGCTGGTGGTGCCATTAGAATGGAACTTTCTCTTCGCATCGCCTAAGCTCGATTGGCGTTTCCAGTCTGCAGCACTTGTGGCGTCGCTGGGTTATCTCCCTCTTGGCAAAGGGACGTGTCTACAATGCCCCCGTTCGGGCGGTGTTGCTATATGGAAACGAGTCATTGCCAGTTCGTTTAGACGATATGCGCCGGCTCTCAGCCTTCGACAACGGATGCTTAAGGTGAATTGCTCGTCTGTGGTGGCAATAACACATTTGCAACAGTGAAGTCAGACGTCGTGTCTTAGGGAATGCGAGTATTCCCTTCAACAAGCTGGTTTTGCTGCGCCACTTAAGATGGCTCGGTCATGTCCTGCGTGTGTCAGCCGAGCGTTTGCCCTATCGCCCTCTGTTTGCTCGTGCAGGGCTCAATTGGAAGAGACTATATAGGTCCACCATCCACCAGGCGACAACAAATGAAGTCGTTGACTTCACCTCTTGCCACCATTGGATTCACACGTTTGCCTGGTTGGGGAGCAAAAGACGAGGAGTGCCGGATGGCTGAAAACGATTCAGGATATGGCTCTTAATCGAAACAACTGGAGGATATGTGTATATAACTGGTTAGATTTGGATACTTAATGCTTAACGATTAAAAACAACAAAAAATTAACAAGCCATGTGTGCAAAATCACAGACAAATGCTCCGTTGTTCTTTATATTGTCACACAATAGCTGAATAGGGTGTTCAATCTGTCTTCTTTCAGTGATTTCCTTGGTTTTGTTTGGCTCAATGTCTATTTGATAGACTGCTGAATACAACTACTACTATACTAATAATAATATGTATATTTCTCTGGATTGTGGACAGATCATAGGTACAATAATTATCATGGTCATGCTTGAGTGTGATATGTAACATGAGGTTGCATTCATGATGCTTCTTCACCGCAGTTGGGCTGAACCAACTTACACTTAAACTAGGTCTTTTTAATGTGGATAAAATTCATTACATTTTATTTGGTTTGTTCTGCGTACTTGATAATCTCCCAACTTGCACACGTCGCTCATGGAAATTGTGGTAAACTTGCATAATTGTATTGCGTGGTATTTTTTAAATAAC